TGTTTAAGATGGTAAATTTTATGTTATGGGCATTTTACTACAGTAATGATGTTGGGAAAAAAATCAGAAATGTGTCAGAATTTTCAACAGTCACCTTGAAAGCTAGAAGACGATGGAATGTTGTCTTCAAAATTCTGAGAGAAAATTATTTCCAAAGTCTAATTCTATACCTAGCCAAACTATCAACTAAGTTATGAATTTTAACAGACATTTTCAGCCATTTGAGAGCTCAAAGAATTCACCCGACATTCCTCCACTCAATCTCAAGAAGCTACCCATAAAAATAATAAAATAAATCAGAAAAAAGATATACTATCCAGGAAACAGAAGATATGACACAGAATAGCACATTATCTGTGTACCGGGCCTAGAGAGCAACCAGTCCAGGTTAGAATGGGAGGAGAAGTCTTTGGGAGAAATGCCTCCAGAAAAGTATATGGACTGATAGATTGTTTGATATCTTTCAGTATTTGAAAATGTTGTTGAGATGTGTTTGACAGATTAAAAACATTTGGGAAAAAAATAGTGATAGATTTTGAAAAACTAAGCATACGAGAAAAGGACATTAATAACAACATGAGAGAAGAAAGTTCTATGAGAGAAGGAACAAAATCAACCATTGGATCAGTGGTAAGTAAGCATTTACATAATCAAAATAATATAAGTACTAATTTTTCTCTTTAACCAAAAAATACCATGTAACTATATTGGGACAGTAAAAGATGAGGTATAAGTGATTATTCATCATAAAGTAGTTAATAAAAGGATATCTAAAATTATTAAATTAAGAAATGCAACATAGTAATATTTTACCAATAAGGATTGAAAGAAACATGTAAAACAGTTGAGAGTGGTTGCTTTTGGAAAGAAGGATTAAGGGGAGGTGGGCGGGGGGTGGGGGTGACTAGGTGACGGGTACTGAGGTGGGCACTTGACAGGATGAGCACTGGGTGTTATTCTATATGTTGGCAAATTGAACACCAATAAAAATAAATTTATATTTTTTTAAAAAAAGAGTGGAGCTGAAAGATCATGCAGCAGCTCTGCAGGGGACACCCTCCCCACCTCAACCATCCTTTAAAATTCTGCCCAGACTTTCACAGACTTTCCTTCCTCCCCTAGATAGAGACACCCACTTCCTTCCAAGATCCCCTTGTCCCTAGGTCTCTATCAAAGCACTCATTACCCTGTATCTGTATCTTCTCTTTGTAGTCTAAGTACGCATCTGCCTTGGGCTTCTGAAGGTAGGTACTAGTCTGCTCTCTGCAATTCCAGCATCCACCACACAATTCCACTCAAAGCTGGCTGAATGAATAAAACAAGTAATCAGGGGTGAGCATGGATGTGGAGAACAGGAGGAACAGAAGGTAAAGGTCTCCCTTTTACACGTTGCAATTTGCCATCATTTTTTGAGTGGGTGGTGGGGGCTGCTCTCTACTTCACAAGAATCTTGGGAAAAGTTCATTTTCTCTGGTGGTAACACACTAAGGGTGGCAACTAACTGTGTTCGATTTTGCATATTTTCTGCAAGTAATAAGCACTATTTAGAATAACGTAACTATCTTTTAGCGATCCGTGTGGAAGGTTTTTCAAGATGCAGTACACAAATGCAAGAGCTCGGTGAAGCAGCTAGACCCAGCCCTGAGTTACAGCACGCTCTTTTTCTGTGCTCACTCTGCATAGGCCGTCCCAGCCCCCCAGGCTTCCTCTCCAGAGGCTCCGGGCTGGTTGCCTTTTCCCTGCAGCGCTGTGATGGAGCAAGCCCAGAGTTCATGGAAAGATGCCCAGAGCCCCAGGCTGGGCCAGAGAGGTAAGTGCAGGATGCAACGCTGAGAGGGAAGGGAGGAGACAGCCCGCCCCACCGCCCGCCCGCCCGCCGGTCTCCTCGGCAGCATCCTTCTCCGCCCCTCCCTTCCGATACCTTCTGGTGCCCGTAGAACCAGTGGGTGGGGGGCGCGGGGAAGGGGCACAGGTCTCGCAGCAGCCGCAGCCTCCGCAGGTAGAGCTTGATGGCCTGCAGCAGCCCCAGGGCCAGGCAGAAGGCGAAGGCCAGGTACAAGGGCCGCGCCCAGCGCGTCTCGATCCAGGACGACTCCATCCCTGTGCACCAGGCAGGGCGCGCGTGAACTCGGGGCCCGGGAGGGGGGAGCCCTCTGCGCTCGCCGCCGGGAGAGGTCCCCAGCCCACGGCGACTCCGTGCCCTCAACAAGCTCCTTCCTCCCCGGGAGGAGGGAGAGCTCTGGGAGGGACAGCTCGGGCTTGGCCAGCGGAGGCAGGCACGAGTTCCCGGGTTTCTAACCCTTTATCTTTAAAAAAAATTTTTTTTTAATTTCTTTTTATTGGAGTTCAATTTGCCAACATATAGCATAACACCCAGTGCTCATCCCATCTAACCCTTTATCAGTAGAGAGCAATCTTCATTCAGGGCGACTTCTTAATGCCCCTCTGGAATGTCACACTTCAGCTGTGACAGTTTTCAATCATGGGAAGTCAGAATTTAGGTGTTGAAATAATTCCAAGGCCGAGGCCATTGTCTTTCTTCGTTGCCACAAATAAATGGTAAACTGCTATGTTTAAAAAAAAAAGACCAATAAAGAATAAAGTTATTATTAAAAAAAAGAACAAAATAAAACATCCCCAAACTAAAAATCTCCCCTGCTCTGAAATTTTGTCAAAACTCATGGGGATCTTGGGGCTGGGGATGGATATGTGTAGTTATTATACTCATATATGGCTTGTCCGGTGGTGTGCTGGTAAATGTTCAACAATTGGTCCTCACTTGGATTTCTAGCATTTGCCAATGTCCATCATGTACTATTTTAAACTGCAGAAGACACTACAGATACAATCAGGGCCCACTACATAATTTGGATCCCAGTGCAAGAAAAAATGTGGGATCCCTTGTTAAAAAGTTATTAACAATTTCAAGGTGATGACGGTAGAGCATTAAACCAAGCATATGCCCTTCTGAGTATGGGGCCTTGTTCCGGGCCCATGAAGCCATCCCTGGATACAAGGGACATAAATAGCCTTGAGAACATAGATAATAGGAAAATGTAGTAAGATAATTAGAAAGTAATGTGGTTTAGGTATTTATTACCTAAGAGGTGGTGAACTAGGATCCAACAGATCTGACTTCCCAAGCTGCTATTCCCCATTCCCAGCCTTCCTTATAGGCATTCCCAAAATTCATTCATTCATTCTTTCATTTATTTATGCTAAGAAAGGCACATGTTAGCTGTTGGATTTACAGCCTTGAACAATAAACTCAATCTCTGCTACAACTCCCTATTTTCTTCCCTGTCACTGCCCCCAATACTCAAGCCCCCACCCCAGTCTCCATTGCCAGGTTTTTTGCTAAGTTAATAATTAAGACAGACTCCATTGGTGATAACTTCATATGGACTAAGTACCAACCCCTGGAATGTTCCACTATGTCCCACACATTAAATGTTACAGCTCCCTCTTCCCCAGACCTTGCCTTCTCCTGCCTATCTCCATTCCTCAAGTAGAAGTTGTTATTTGACTGTGTCTCAGAATCTTCTGGTTTATACAGTCTCCTCTGGGTGACTCATAGCATTTTAGTTTCTTCAGATTCTTCCTCTGTACCCTGCCCCTTCCCCAAATCATGATAAATATATAATGGCTTTCACATAACCACATCATGGTGACCAGGCTGAGGACCTCAGACTCATGTTCTGCCTTGGGTCTAGCCAAGCTAGTCTTGGCTTCATGACATCTAGTCTGCTCTGGTCCTGGGGTCCTCTGGGCTGACTGACAAATAGTAGAGTGGAGTTCGTGAACTTCCAGTTAGTTGTCTCAGCAGGGTCGGGACCTGGGGACTAACCTAGTCTTATTCAGACTCTTGCTAAGGATGTAAATCCCTTCTGAGACGTGGCTGGTCCATCCACTGTATTCTGTATACTTCCTTGGAAAACAAATAATTTTGACACTTTTTGTACTATACCCAAGAGCTTAAGAGAGGCTTAAGGGTGCTAGCTCAAGTCTTCTCTCTGCTTCACTGCCATTTTCACTCTGGTTCCTCTCCAAAAGGAAGCAAAGCAAAATCTATCTAAATCTCTACTTCCAGAATTTTAGCCTAGAGGGAGAAAATCAGATGCTCTCCTGACCTCGGGCTTTACCACTTCTGCTAAAATTTACCCTGGTCCACGAGGCTGGAAGAGGTGGGCTTTTTCACAACTTCCACTTATAAGGTAGAAACTTCCTTATGATACAGTCTGTGTCCTCTCTACCCCTGATTGAGACTTAAAATCTACAGCCTACTCCAATAGGACATGCTAATGGGACATACAGGAAGTTAGAAAATTATTCTGGCCAAAGACTGGCTTTCAATACTAATTGCAACATGAAAATCCCACTTTGGAGACCAATAGCAGAACATGTATCCCTTCCTTCTTTTGGCAGACCTGTGCAAATGTCCATTGACTTGAATTTCCTTGGCTGGAGGACTGGGGATAGGGACACTGAAAAAGCCTAGAAACATGGTCAGCCCAGGTTAAGGAGTTCAGATTTTACAAAAAGTGATGGGAATCCACCAAAGGGACTTAAGATGGGACGTGACATAGGTAGTAGATCATAGCTATTTGGGAGATAATAATAGGCAAATATTTATTGGGTGCTTACTTAGTGTCAACTACTATTTTAAAATGATTTACATGTAGTAACTCATTTAGTACTCATAATAAAAATTTGAGGTAGCTATTACCATTATCCCTATTGTATATATATGGAAACTGACACACACAGAGATTATGAAGTTTGCCCAAGACATCAGAGGGTGAGAATGGGGATCAGGATTTAAATCTGGCCATTCTCAAGAATCCAGGTCCTAGGATCTTAACAAGGACAGGAATAAAGGATATGTGTATGGAGTGGGTGAAAGACTGGCACTAGAAGACCACTTCTGACACTTTTGCAATATTCAGATAAGGTGTGATAGTGGCCTGGCAAGGGGGAGTGCCATGGAACAGAGAGGCAGAATGAGTGGGAGAATATTGGAGAGTGTTTTTGATGGAGTTGGTAATCAGATGTGCACCCAGTAGGGAAGAAATCTAGGATGATCCCTGTGTTTCTCCACATTGAGATAGAGCAAGAAGAATCACTCTTTTCTCTTGCTCTGCCTCCAGCCCCCTTCCATGTGTCTTCTGTTCTTCTTGAACCTGCCCTTAGGACTTACCTCCTCAGGAATGCTTCTCTAACCATCCAGCCCTTTGGGAATCTATCCTATGAACAATCGAAGCACTCATTTTCATACCTCTCATTTGATACTTCATTTATTCATATTTTCATTTATGACTCATTCCATAGTTAGCAATTCTATGCACCTTCATTATATATCTCTTTTCATGTTTGACTTATCTTCCTGGAAACTCCATGATGGTGCAAACATTTCCTCTCCTCATCTCTTAGATTCCTTTGGAGCCCAGCTCTGAGCTAGGCACATAGTAGATGCTTTACTAATAGTTATTTAATATGCTTTAGAAATAGCTATTCACTTGAACTGGACAAACTTTTTGAGGGCTTTTAGGAATGAGCAGAATGAGGAATGTAAAATGTAGGTATATGACCTACACAAGAGGACAACAAAGAAACGGAGACATCCTAGGTCAAGGGATTTGTCTCCTAAGACAATAACCATCAGGCACGGTGTGGGAAGGGAGGTGAAGAGAAGAAGAATGAAGTAAAATGACAGCTGTTTTCATAGTGGGGAAAACACTCCCTTAGTGTTCCTAAGGGAGATAGTGCTGATAAAGAGGAAGAATAGAAGGTGCTGAGAGAAGGGCATTGAGAGAAAAAATAGGGCCAGGGGATGAGTAAGTTGTTGAATAGAAGGAATGAGCTGGATGGGGTAGGGCATAGAAACCTCATAGATGTCAAGTCCCAGACAGCTTTATGAAAAATTTGAGACTATGCAGTGATCTCTTCAGTCTGTTTTTGACAGCACGTAAGTTACAATTTTGAAGACATCCAGCTGGGAAGACCAACGCATTAGAGGCATAGGAGGCAGGATGGGGGGGGGGGGCGTGGGCAGCTTACATCTCTGATGCCAGATAACCTCAATTTTCTCAGAGTATTCTGAGGCATCTTCTGCCCTGGCAGGGGCAGAGAGGACTGAGTGCCTGAGCAGGGCAGGGATTTGGAGCAGCTGCTGTGGTGATGCTGAGGGCATCGGCAAGCAGTTGTTAAGTGGAATTTACATAGCAGGTTCATGCAGAGGGCCCAGGACACATGATTCCATTATGTATTTTCTCCCACAACAGTCCAGAATAAGAGAATGGAAATATTCAGAAAGGAAGCATAGAGCCAGTCTCTATCTTCATTGCTGCATCCTGTACATCAGCCAGTGCTGGGCAATGCCAGGATACAAAGATGGATCGAGTGTACACCTCTTCCTGGGACAGCTCACAGCCTTGGGGAGGGGACAGATATAGTACAATGGATAGCTGATATGACTGGAAGGATCTTTATGGATTATCTCGACCTCATCTAGTCTTATGAATAAAGAAATTAAGTAAAAAAAAAAGCAGCTTTTCCTGAGCCCCTTTCTCCAGGCTGAGAATTCCAAGATTTTCTCTCCTTTCATCTTTGCTGCCTGTGTGCCACACCAGTTGTGTTGATCTCTCCACCTCTTCACTCCTTCAGATGACACAACCAGTGAGTCAGGAAACCATTGATTGTGTCTAGCAGTGTTGGTGTGTTACCTTAAGTGATTTGAATATTTTAAAAACTGAGTCTAGAGCTGTGAGCTTCCAGAGGAGGAAAAGGAGCAAGCAGAGAGATTCGGAGGGACATGAGGAGCACCAGGTGTTGTGGGATACAAGGAGACAATGCTGAAATACTTTATTTTTTTTATGATAGTCACACAGAGAGAGAGAGGGGCAGAGACATAGGCAGAGAGAGAAGCAGGCTCCATGCACCGGGAGCCTGACATGGGATTCGATCCCGGGTCTCCAGGATCGCGCCCTGGGCCAAAGGCAGGCGTCAAACCGCTACGCCACCCAGGGATCCCTGAAATACTTTAAATGATAGCCAGATGTTGAGTGGTCTTGAGACAAGGATCGAGTTTGAAATGTGTTTCTTGGAATCAGTGACATGGAAGTCAGCTATAACCATAGAAAGAGTTGTTAAAGTAAAGTGATGGATATCCATTGGAAGAAAGACAGTCTCTTCAATAAATGGTGCTGGGAAAATTGGACATCCACATGCAGAAGAATGAAACTAGACCACTCACTTTCACAATACACAAAGATAAACTCAAAATGGATGAAAGATCTAAATGTGAGGCAAGATTCCATCAAAATCCTAGAGGAGAACTCAGGCAACACCCTTTTTGAACTCAGCCACAGTAACTTCTTGCAAGATACATCCATGAAGGCAAAAGAAACAAAAGCAAAAATGAACTATTGGGACTTCATCAAGAAAAGAAGCTTTTGCACAGCAAAGGATACAGTCAACAAAACTAAAAGACAACCTACAGAATGGGAGAAGATAGTTGCAAATGACGTATCAGATAAAGGGCTAGTTTCCAAGATCTATAAAGAACTTATTCAACTCAACAGCAAAGATACAAACAATCCAATCATGAAATTGGCAAGAGACATGAAGAGAAATCTCACAGAGGAAGACATAGACATGGTCAACACGCACATGAGAAAATGCTCTGCATCACTTGCCATCAGGGAAATACAAATCAAAACCACAGTGAGATCCCACCTCACACCAGTGAGAATGGGGAAAATTAACAAGGCAGGAAACCACAAATGTTGGAGAGGATGCGGAGAAAAGGGAACCCTCTTACACTGTTGGTGGGAATGTGAACTGGTGCAGCCACTCTGGAAAACTGTGTGGAGGTTCCTCAAAGAATTAAAAATAGACCTGCCCTACGACCCAGCAATTGCACTGTTAGGGATTTACCCCAAAGATTCAGATGCAATGAAACGCCGGGACACCTGCACTCCGATGTTTCTAGCAGCCATGTCCACAATAGCCAAACTATGGAAGGAGCCTCGGTGCCCATCGAAAGATGAATGGATAAAGAAGATGTGGTTTATGTATACAATGGAATATTACTCAGCCATTAGAAATGACAAATACCCACCATTTTCTTCAACGTGGATGGAACTGGAGGGTATTATGCTGAGTGAAGTAAGTCAATCGGAGAAGGACAGTGTATGTTCTCATTCATTTGGGGAATATGAATAATAGTGAAAGGGAATATAAGGGAAGGGAGAAGAAATGTGTGGGAAATATCAGAAAGGGAGACAGAACATAAAGACTCTTAACTCTGGGAAATGAACTAGGGGTGGTGGAGGGGGAGGAGGGCGGGGAGTGGGGGTGAATGGGTGACGGGCACTGAGGGGGACACTTGTCGGGATGAGCACTGGGTGTTATTCTGTATGTTGGCAAATTGAACACCAATAAAAAATAAATTTATTATTAAAAAAAAGAAATAGTGAAAGGGATTATAGAAGATGGAAGGAAAATGAGAGGGAAGAATTAGAAAGGGAGAGAAAATATGAGAGATTCCTAACTCTGGGAAACAAACAAGGGGTAGTGGAAGGCGAGATGGGCGGGGGGATGGGGTGACTGAGTTTCAGGCACTGAGGAAGGCACTTGACAGGAGGAGCAGTGGGTGTCATATGTTGGCAAATAGAGCTTCATTAAAAATATATTAATAAAATAAAATAAATGGGAGTTCCCCTTTGTACCTAGAGAGAATATTCTCTATCTGTTCATTCTCCACATAACATGAATATGTGTCTCGATTCTTAGATGTCGAAGGAATAGAATCCTAAGTTCTCTCCTTATCCACGACAAACATTCAAACCCCAAGGGTTCCATCATTTTATGATGCTATATTATTCCCATTGATGGCACTGACATTTTGTAATTTTAAGCTATCTACTCCTATTCCCAACTCCAAGAACATAACTCCTGCAGGATTTCTGTCTTTATTGATACTCCTTTTGGATATCATCCGGATTTGATGTAATGATAAGATAACTCCTTGTTGACAACTGCAAAAAAATATATACCGGCCAGTTAAAATAATGACTCTGGGGCCCTACGTGGCTCAGCACTGGTGTGTATGTCTTGGCTTAGGTCATGATCCTGGGATTCTGGGATGGGGCTCCCTGCTCAGTGGGGAGTCTGCTTTTCCCCCTGCCACTCCCCTGGTCATGGGCTCTCTCACTTTCTCAAGGAAATACAGAAACATTTTGTATAAAAATAATGATGACTCAGTACATTGCACCTTCTCTACAAGGAGATGTTGGCTTCAGGAAGAGGCTCAGAAATACCATACAATTCTAATTCCCAAGATTTGATCGCTAGAGAGGGAGAGCCCTGGAGCAGGGAGAGTTCTTCTTTCACCCTTACGGGGTTGAGTACATCAAGTATATCAGGAAACCCACTCTCATTCTTCAGATGGCCCACTCCCAGGGAGCCCTCAGGTTGATGGAGAGAGCAGCTGGTGACCACATCTGAGGTCCCTGCCATGGTCTAGTCTACCTTTTAGCTCACCTCTGCTCTGAATCCCAGCCCTGCCACATCCCAGTCATAGGCAAGTTGCTCAGCCTCTCTGAGGCTTAGGTGCTCAGGTGAACAACGGGCATTGGGCCTTCCTTGGAGGGTTGTTGTGAGATGGATTAGTCAATGCATATTCCCCTAGGGCTCATGGATAGTACTTGGTAAACGTGAGTTGTCCCTTGAGCTGCTCTCTAACATAAGCCTCCAGTTCTTTCTGCTTCTCACCCTGGTCTGGATATCTACTAATCTGGTCACATGTGCTGTGCCATGTCTGCCTCACCTCTCCTGCTACACTATCATTCCCCTCAGAGTGATGAGAAGCGACTCTCATAGCAGCTGCCAAGCTGTGTGAGCAAACACCTGGCCCCGCAGGCAGGTATGGCCATTCTTCCCTCTTCTGCCCCACAGGATTCTTAGTCTTGCTCTCCTTTTATGCCCTTCACCACAACCCAAATGTGTGGCCAAACCCAGAGGTATGATGGCCTTGGGAGGATGGTATGGGGGAATCTCTGCATGCCAATCCTTCCTCCTGTTCCATTTCTGGGTGTGTCATGAGATTGAGAGGAAGAAGGAGCTGGCCACACCACCCTGAACCTGGGGTTGCTGTACAGGTGTTTGACCCTTCCCGCTTTGCACCAGATGCCTCTCGACACAGCCATGCTGTCCTGCCCTTCTCAGGAGGATCAAGGTGAGGCACTTGTACTGGGATGGGAGGAGGGGCTGTTTACTAGGGACATTCCTGTTGTTTGTCACTTCCTACATTTCCATGGGTGTTGCAGATATGCCCTGACATGTTGGTGTGCTGGGAAAGAGGTGTGTGTCTCTATGCACGATAGAAATTTGGTAATCACTGCAGGCTATGGAAACTTTGACCCATTTGTCTCACTCAGTCTCCAGCCACAGTTCAGTGTCAGTGGCTATTCAATGGCTCTAGGCATTCTTGTTATTTCTTCACTTTATGAGAGTGACTTTAGTACTGGATATTGTCACATGTAGTTTTCAAGTGTTGTCAAAGTCAAATCAGGGTATAATAAAAAGATTTCTTTTGCACACATTCTCAAACCAGCCCCTCTCTCCACTCAACCCTCACACTGCACCGATGCCTAGGTGCATGTGTTTCCATCCTCAGCTGCCTCACGTCTGAAATATTTAAGCCTACAGAGGAAAATATCCTGCGATCTCTTAAGGGCCTCAGAAGTATTCAACTTGTGTCTCCAGTATTTTAGCCTCTATTCAAAAGAATTTTGGACTGCATGGAAATGATCATGAATACTTGACAGTTTTCTCCGTTGTGAAATCAGTACATACTGGGCTCTACATACCTGAATATTACACTTTGAGTCCAATTATCCAATAAGCAAGTATATAAAATGAGGATATTAAATGGCTTTTGAGAGAAAATCCACAGTTTTGTATATGTACATGACAAGTGGCATTTGAAAGTTCATGGCATATGAAATAGAAAGGACACTTGAAATGGCTGTTCAGCTGCATGACTATCCTCCTGAGTGAAGTCCTCCTGGGCTGCTGAAATTGTCCTATAAATCATATATAGTAACTTCTGTAAACTTTTTAAGTAGTTATTAGAAAAATGCATTTTAGCAAATATATGAATCTTCAGTCCTTCTGAACTAAGTGAATCTACTCTCCAGAATAGGCTTTAAGCAAACTATTCTCCAGATACTGGGCCAGGATTTGGTTTCCTCCTGGGATTACCTCCTTCCTCCTAGACATTGGTGCAAGTCATGTGGTTGTCACTAGAGATAGGAGAGGGGTAGACAGCTCAATTCCTAGCTCAGAACTAATGGAGACTTCTGTTTATTCCTTTCTGCTTTCCTATTCAATTCGGTAAACCTCATTCAATATCTAAGAATAATTATTAAGCCGAACTCTGTGCCAAGTCTATGCTATGAGATGGGAAACTGCCCTTGATTCAGGGAGTTCTCAGTCAAGAAATAAATGCCTCTACTCAAAAGACACATCATGCATTCATTCTTTCTTGCCCTCACTCATTTACTAATTGACCCTACAGCAGGACGTTCCATGTTTCTGGCACTGTCCTGTACTGGAAAGTGACGTGTCCTTGAGTAAAATACCATGTGATTCAGGGTCCAGGAATGAAGAGGCACAGCCAATGGTGGGTGGGTTGTGTGTGGGGTGGCTGAAGGCAGAGTTGGCATTGCCCTTAGCCTTGGGTATTTGGCGGGCAGAGGTGGAGAGAGGGCATTCTCTTGGATATCCTCAACAGGAGCTGGGCTGGGAGACAGAACTGGATAGGTGACCTGTGAATGTGTCAACAACCCAGAGAGGGCTTTGATGTTCGCTGAGCCCTATGGGCATGCTTACCTGTGATGGAGGACATGGGGGGTTCTGAGTATAGGAGGGTGGGGTATCAGGAGAGGGACCAGAGGCAGGAGACAGAAAAGTCCAGTTGAGCAGCAGCTGAGGGATGATAGGCAGGACACTTCTGCAGTAGAATTGGAAGGCAACAGCAGCTGGTTGAATGAGGGGCTGATGGGCAGGTAGGAGTCTGGACCCAAACTGGGAGGCAGATGGTGCAGCAGCTTGAGCATCCCTAAGGCTCTGCGCCTGCAGGGAGCTTCCCTGTTGGCATCCTGACTTCCTTACCCGACTCCATCTTGTCATTTCTATGAGAATCTGGATCCCCGTGTGCCCGCGGGATATGGTTAGGACCTGAAGTGTGGCCCAGCCCACCCCCTCTGGTGCCCTGGCCTGGCCTCCACATTGTGAAACCAGAAATGGCTGATTCAGAGAGCAAAGAACCTAATGATTAACTGTTGTAGTGATCACTTGACTTGGCTCTGAGGCTCAAAGTGTTGACCCTCCTGTAACAGGGTTTCAGGCCTGCTGAGAGCAGAGGTAAGAGGAGGAGCTAATCCTGAGGAGTGTAGACTTTTGTCAGAGGTCAAGGGGAGAGTGTTAACAAAGCAAGGCTTGGGGTAGAGATGTGCATGTGTCCTGAGGGAAGGGGATCAGGGCTGGGCCCATGCAGGCTGGCCCTGAAGGGACTGTTCCTGGCAGGGGCTTTGAGGCCACTCCTCATTTCCTTTTCCCTCACTGAACCAGGAACTGCATCGGGCAGCACTTTGCCATGAACGAGTTGAAGGTGGCTGTGGCCCTGACCCTGCTTCGCTTTGAGCTGGCACCAGATCCCTTCAGGATCCCTGTTCCTACTCCAAGAATTGTGTTGATGTCCAAGAATGGGATCCACCTGCATCTCAGGAAGCTCCTCTAACACTTGTGGGGACAAGGATGAGCCCCCAGGGCCTCCTGCCTGCCATTCTGTCTTCCTGTCAGTCTCTCCTCTCTGCTGGCTTCTGCTCACTTCCTGCTTTCCTCTGCCCACCTGCCAGCCTTCCTGCTCTCCTGCTCTCCTGCTCTTGCACATGAGATTGTGTTTCTGTGTCTCACCCTTTTCCATGATTCCTTCTTGTTTGTCTGTTGCCTTTCTCCTAATGAGCTGTCGCTCTGACTGTCCACATAAATCGTCATGGCTGATTATTTTTCAGGCTCTGAAAGTGTGTCCTCTCCCTGTTGTTGTTTCTGGCTGCTGCTCCACTGTCCCTATAATGTTTTCTCTTACTGCTTTACCGTATTACACAAACTTAGTTCTTTCAAAGAGCACAAAGGGATAATCTTGTGTTTTAGGAGTCATAAATCTGAAATGAGTCACTGGGTCGCAACGAAGGCAAGTAGATAATCTAAGGGATAATCTCTTCTCTTGTATTTTCCACCTTCTCAGAATCCACTCTTAAGGCTATTCAATGAGGGGACTAGGCCTCCTGATTTCTCATGGAAATATCCTTTTCTTTAATTCTGCTGAGTCAGATGTTAACCATACCTGTCAAATTTTTAGTGCAACATCTAGAGTTTTGTTTAATTGAACAAGGGTACTCCAGCCAATCCAAGTGCACCCGTAATGCGAGACATGTCAGTCCCCCTTTTGTCCTCTTGGCATTCACACTTTCCCTTACACCATACTTTGTCTCCAACCAAGTAAAATAAAGTCATGCTCTACCAGCTCAGCTGCCTATGACTGAACCTGTGTAGTCCCTTTTCCCCAAAAACAAAGCCCAAGTTTTTGGAAGGTCTTCTCTCTTCTCCCCAAAATGCTGTAACCTAAGTGCTATGACAAAAAGTTAACTACTAGTTTTACGTGTTACATTTGATGTGCAGGTTATAAAACAAGGAAGGAAAAAATCAGACCCACATACCTACACATGCATAATCATACTCATAACAAGTAAGGGAAAATGCTAGAAAGCATTACACTCCTTATTTCTATAACATGTGACATAGCCATCATTAGCATTTAAAAAATTTTTTTATTGCAGTTCAATTTGCCAACATATAACATAACACCCAGGGCTCATCCTACCTAGTGCCCCCTTCGGTGCCAATCACCCAGTCACCACAACTCCCTACCCATTTCCCTTCCACTACCACTTGTTCATTTCCCAGGGATAGGTGTCTCTCATGTTCTGTCTCCTTCACTGATATTTTCACTCATTTTCTCTTTTTTCCCCTTTATTCCCTTTCACTACTTTTTATATTTCCAAAATGAATGAGACCATATAATGTTTGTCCTTCTCCGATTGACTTACTTCACTCAGCATAATACCCTCCAGTTCCATCCACGTCGAAGCAAATGGTGGGTATTTGTCATTTCTAATGGCTGAGTAATATTCCATTGTATACATAAACCACATCTTCTTTATCCACTCATCTTTCGATGGGCACCGAGGCTCCTTCCACAGTTTGGCTATTGTGGACATTGCTGCTAGAAACATCGGGGTGCAGGAGTCCCAGCGTTTCATTGCATCTGTATCTTTGGGGTAAATCCCCAACAGTGCAATTGCTGGGTCGTAGGGCAGGTCTATTTTTAACTCTTTGAGGAACCTCCACACAGTTTTCCAGAGTGGCTGCACCAGTTCACATTCCCACCAACAGTGTAAGAGGGTTCCCTTTTCTCCGCATCCTCTCCAACATTTGTGGTTTCCTGCCTTAATTTTCCCCATTCTCACTGGTGTGAGGTGGGATCTCACTGTGGTTTTGATTTGTATTTCCCTGATGGCAAGTGATGCAGAGCATTTTCTCATGTGTATGTTGGCCATGTCTATGTCTTCCTCTGTGAGATTTCTCTTCATGTCTCTTGCTAATTTCATGATTGGATTGTTTGTTTCTTTGCTGTTGAGTTGAATAAGTTCTTTATAGATCTTGGATCCTAGCCCTTTATCTGATAGGTCATTTGCAAATATCTTCTCCCATTCTGTAGGTTGTCTTTTAGTTTTGTTGACTGTTTCTTTTGCTGTACAAAAGCTGCTTATCTTGCTGAAGTCCCAATAATTCATTTTTGCTTTTTTTTCTCTTACCTTCATGGATGTATCTTGCAAGAAGTTGCTGTGGCCCAGTTCAAAAAGGGTGTTGCCTGTGTTCTCCTCTAGGAATTTGATGGGTTCTTGTCTCACATTAGATCTTTCATCCATTTTGAGTTTATCTTTGTGTCTGGTCCAGTTTCATTCTTCTGCATGTAGCTGTCCAATGTTCCCAGCACTATTTATTGAAAAGACTGTCTTTTTTCCAGTGGATAGTCTTTCCTGCTTTGTCAAATATTAGTTGACCATAGAGTTGAGGGCCGGCCCACTTCTGGATTCTCTATTCTATTCCATTGATCTATGTGTCTGTTTTTGTGCCAGTACCACACTGTCTTGATGACCACCGCTTTGTAGTACAACCTGACATCTGGCATTGTGGTTCCCCCATTCTCTGGTTTTCTTTTTTTAAAATTCCCCTGGATATTCGGGGTCTTTTCTGATTCCACACAAATCTTAAGATGATTTGCTTGAAATCTCTTAAGAAAGTCTACTTTGATAGGGATTGCATTAAATGTGTAAATTGCCCTGGGTAGCATTGACATTTTCACAATATTAATTCTTCAAATCCATGAGCATGAAATATTTTTCCATCTCTTTGTGGCTTCCTCAATTTCTCTCAGATGTATTCTGTAGCTTTTAGGGTGTATATTCTTTACCTCTTTGGTTAGATTTATTCCTAGGTATCCTATGCTTTTGGGTGCAATTGTAAATGGGATTGACTCCTTAATTTCTCTTTCTTCAGTCTCATTGTCAATGTATAGAAATAGGCATTGATTTTGTATCCTGACACACTGCCAAATTGCTGTATGAGTTCTAGCAATCTTGGGGTGGGGTCTTTTGGGTTTTCTATATACAGTATCATGTCATCTGCGAAGAGGGAGAGTTTGACTTCTTCTTTGCCAATTTGAATGCCTTTTATTTCTTTTTGCTGCCTGATTGCTGAGGTTAGGACTTCCAGTACTATGTTGAATGGCAGTGGTGATTGTGGACACCCCTGTCGTGTTCCTGATCTTAGGGGAAATGCTCTCAGTGTTTCCCTATTGAGAATGATATTTGCTGTGGGCTTTTCGTAGGTGCCTTTATGAAGCTGAGGAAAGTTCCTTCTATCCCTACACTCTGAAGAGTTTTGATCAGGAATGGATGCTGTAGTCTGTCAAATGCTTTCTCTGCATCTATTGAGAGGATCATATGGTTCTTGTTTTTTCTCTTGTTGATATGATCTATCACATTGATTGCCTTATGAGCATTGAACCATCCTTGCATCCTGGGGATAAATCCCACTTGGTCATGGTGAATAATCTTAATGTACTGTTGGATCCTATTGGCTAGTATCTTGTTGAGAATTTTTGCATCCATGTTCATCAGGGATATTGGTCTATAATTCTCCTTTTTGGTAGGGTCTTGGTGGTTTTGGAATTAAGGTGATGCCGGCCTCATAGAACGAATTTGGAAGTATTCCATCTCTTTCTATCTTTCTGAACAGCTTTAGTAGAATAGGTAAGGTTTCTTCTTTAAACGTTTGATAGAATTCCCCAGGGAAGCCATCTGGCCCTGGACTTTTGTGTCTTGGGAGGTTTTTGAGGACTGCTTCAATTTGCACCCTGGTTATCGGCCTGTTCAGGTTTTCTATATCTTCCTGTTCCAGTTTTGGTAGTTTGTGATTTTTCAGAAATGTGTGCATTTCTTCTAGATTGCCTAATTTGTTGGCGTATAGTTGCTCATAATGTGTTTTTAAAATCATTTGTATTTCCTTGGTGTTGGTAGTGATCTCTCCTTTCTCATTCATGATTTTATTAATTTGAGTATTTTCTCTTTTTTTTTTTTTAAGGCTGGCTAGTGGTTTCTCTCTCTTATTCTTTCAAAGAACCAACTTCTGGTTTGTTGATCTGTTCTATAGTTCTTCTGGTCTCCATTTCATTGAGTTCTGCTATATCCTTGTTAAGTCTCTTCTGCTTGGCATAGGTTTTATTTGGTGTTCTTTCTCCGGTTCCTTTAGGTGCAAGGTTAGCTTGTATATTTGAGTTTTTTTTCCAATATTTGGATGGATTCTTGTGTTGTGATGTATTTATTTCCTTCTTAGGACTGCTTTTAGTGTATCCCAAGATTTTGAATGGTTGTATCTTCATTCTCATTAGTTTCCATGAGTCTTTTTAATTCTCTAATTTCCTGGTTGACCCTTTCATTTTTTAGCAGGATGCTCTTTAACCTCCATGTGTTTGAATTTCTTCCAAATTTCTTCTAATGATTTAGTTCTAGTTTCAAAGCATTATGGTATAAAAATATGAAGGGGACAATCCCAATCCTTTGGTATTGGTTGAGACCTGATTTGTGACCCAGTATGTGGTCTATTCTAGAGAAAGTTCCACGTGTACTTGAGAAGAATGTGCATTCAGTTGCGTTCAGATGTAAAGTTCTGTAAATATCCGTGAAATCCATCTGGTCTAGTGTATCATTTAAAGCTCTTGTTTCTTTGGAGATGTTGTGCTTAGAACATCTCTCATTTGAGAAAGCGCCATGTTGGAGTCTCCCAGTGTTAGCATATTATTATCTAAGTATGTCTTAACTTTGGTTATTAATCTATTAATGTACTTGGCAGCTCTCACATTAGGGGCATAAATAGTCATGATTGTTAGGTCCTCTTGTTGTATAGATCCTTTAGGTATGATATAGTGTCTCTCTTCATCTTTACTACAGTCTTTGGGACGCACTTTAGTGTACCTGATATGAGGATTACTACCCCTACTTTCTTTTGTGGACCATTTGCATGGTAAATGGTTCTTCAACCTTTCATTTTCAGGCTGTAGGTGTCCTTAGGTCTAAAATGAGTCTCTTGTAGACAGCAAATAGATGGGTCTTGCTT